GGAAAATCTATGTAATTGCAAAAGTAATTTCAAGAATCTTAATAAAGTACTAGTGTAACTGCTTAAGTTTAAAAAAATATATATATATATATATATATATAGTTACAAAATTAGGAATAATCAGAAAAAATGAATTGGAGTGTGGTGATCTAGTAAAGTGGTCAGGTTGTTAACCCTCCAAGTGGTAGGTTTGATGTTCAAATCCCATCGACAGCGAAAATTTGGATAATTACCTATGTAATATTCATATTATGGCAACTGTTACTAATGATTGAGTTAGGATACCTGTAATAGCAGTCACATTAGCATAACTGGCAGGTTATGAGGCATCTGTGTAAGTATGGTGTTATACAGAAGAATGCAAACTAACAAATCAGGTAGTGCAAACACTAGATAAGTCCTTGTGACTGTGTAAATTCGTTGAAATTAGGTAACAAGAAGTCCATTTGGGAAGATCTGAGTAAAAAGGTAGCTGGATCTTTGATGGCCCTACTGTAAAGGCTAGCCCAAGAAAACAGATACCAAGGTCGTAGTACCCAGTCATAGTAGCCAAATGGGCAAGAACCTTTGGGTTGTGAGGCTCAGAGGTACTACCAACTAGGCTGCCAAAACAAATCAGAGAAAAAGAATATTGGGCCAACCTGATATACTGATGAACTAATCGTAGTCCTACATGAGCTATCTAGATTGAGAGTTTGGTAAAAAGTCTAGACAAAAGGCAGGAGTATACTAAAGTACTGGGGTTATGCTGTGAAATAGATGCTGGAGTCTAGGTGAACTCTACAAGGGTATAGCAGTATAATGGTTAGTCCTAACTGCAAGTGTTGGTTCTGCTATAGTAATATTTAGGTCAACTGTAAAAATGGGTACAGAAGGCTCTGGGGGGTTTACCTTGAGGATAAATTAGTCCTAAGATTGAGGATAATGATCTGGTACATCTGAGATGACCAGTGATGTTAATATAAATTACAGATTCAGAGGGTTTAAAATGAAATACCCAAGCAGGAGTGTTAGGTATAGCAATTGGTAAGAAACCTTCAGGCAAACTCCTTAAATAGGTAATATAGAAAAATTACATGTGTAGCCAATTGTATGCTTTCCTGTAGTGATTCATTGAACCACAATACTGATAAGTGATTAATAAAAGTCAAAAAACCAAAGAGGTCATCTTAATATCAAAAAAAAAAAAAAAAAAATTTATTAACAAATAATATTAATATTAAGAAAACCTAACTAAAAAAATTAAAAATATTAGATATTAGATATAAAGAATACTTTAACTAATGAGTCATATGAAGTTAAAGAACTGCAAATTAAATAAAAAAATAGTAGATTCTATACTACAGAAGTAAAAATCTGAAAAAACATCATATAATGAACTTAATGAAGTATAAGCTATTTTCATAAATATAGTAATAAATATAGGAACTATATATTATTTAACAATTTTGTTAAATAATAACTCTGATCTTTAAAGAAATATAATATATTTTAAAGATGTTTAAGAACTTTCAGAATAACAGAAAAAAAAAGAATAAAAAAAAAACGGAATGTAGTCCCATAGCCTAGTGGTCTAGACGCCTCTCCCTCTACAGACAAGGTCAACAGTTCAATTTCAGCTGAAGGCAAAAACTCTGTAATCTATGGAAGCATATGAATATACATAAAGCTCTGTGGCTTAAGTTCATGTGAATAGAAGATTGGTATATAAGGAAGTTTCTGGAAAGAAGTTTACCGATATGGAGAGTTGGCATTCGATGCAAGAGAAGCAGTGAACATACCAGAAATGAAGAGAAGGTGCACTAGCAGGTGATATGGTAAACATAAAAAAAAACTATAGGAAAGAAATAGACTTACTAAAATTCGAACACTTCTGGCATTAAAAACTGATTTAGTAAATACGAGTTACACTAAATTAGATCTAAGTGGTAATCTTGGTATCAGCTTAGTAAGCTTGCATCGAGAGTAAATTCGAAGAAATATAGATACTTAGTAATATCCAATGAGGTAGTACTTTGATATAAATAGAAACTAAGATAACCCTAATCCAAATATTACTATAATGGTAATTTAAGTATTGCAGATATATACATAAATAGTATTGAAAATCAGAAAGTTTAAAAAAGGACTTACAGGTGGGTCTCAGGTATGGCATCTAGTGGGTAACCTGCAGGTGGAACCCTTAATTAGATAATGACTAAAGTTATACATATGACTAGTTGTACTTTTGTTGATGTACTATGTATATTACATGTAATCATATATTACTTAATAAACGACATGCGGACAAGATTGCCACTTTAAAAAAAAAATAATAATAAAAAAAAACTGTAAAGATAATATACTAAACAGTATATTATTCTTTATACTAATAATTAGTATTCTTTATATTTAATTAAATTTACTTAAATTTATACTAAAGATTTATTAGAATTTTTTTAATATAAAATATAAATATATCTTTAGTATAAATAGAATACTTAGCAAAATACCAAGTTTATATTAAATATTTGTACTTTTAGAGTTAATAAGAAATGTTTAGAAAGAAATCAAATCTATAATAATAGATAAGTTTGATAAGTATTACAAAAATATTGAATTTTTATTTTTGCTTAAGCTATTAAATAATATAATACTAGTAGAATTAAATATCTATTTAATTTTGTTTAATCTAAAAATTGCAAATTATATATAAAAGATATATTTTATATATAGTATATCTTTTTGCAATTTAGAAACTATAATTATAATAAAGCATCTTTAGTATTTTTTTTAAATATATTTTATTGGAATTAAAATAATTATTCTATATTAAATATACTAAAAAATATTTAGTTAAATTTATAAATTATTTGATTAAAAATATGCATAATAGAATATAATAACAAATCTTATCTATTAATATCTCATAACATCTTTCTAAAATAGTCAAAGTTATTAATACTAAAAAAACAATTAATTTATTTAAAGATATATTTGTTATTTAAAGAAAGTCTATATATATAAATAAAAATTATTTAATTTTATTAACAAAAAAATATAAGTGTTTTTTTTTGAAATCTTCAGTAACATATATCAAAAATTAGATTAAGTTGCATTGTTAATAATTCAAAAAAAAATTTTCAAGCTAACTTTATTAAATATTAATATTAATAATAAGAAAATATTGTTAAAGTTTAATAATGAGCATTTATTATTATGCAACAAATGTAACCACTGTTATAAACTATTATGTAACAAGACAGATAAAAGTTCTATAATTATTGCATATAATTATAAATATCATAAGAATTGTTTTACTAATATTAAATAGAAAATGGTATTATTGTAAAAATTTTTTCAAATTGAGTATACAAAATAACATTTTATTTTTATTTTCACAATTAAGTAAATTAGATAAATCAAAGTTAACTATTAAAAAGATTATTGAGACTGATGAAAATTATTCATAAGATTAAAGAGCAGTAAATGAGAAAGATATATTGAAAGTTCTTCAAAAAGATAAACAAGCATTGCTAAAAGTAGAACAAGCTTACTCTACAACTCTTAAAAATTTTTTGAATGCTTATATTACAGACACTTAGCATTAATATTTTTTTTAAATGTTATTTTATTGAATGTTTTAATAAAAATTTTTTTTAATAAATATTTTATTTTTTGTGAATAAATCATTTCAAAAAATTACATAATTACTAGGTAATCGTACGTATATAAAAAAAAAAATTGATAAACAATCAATCGTTAGTGTAAGTTTTGAATAACTAATTATAACCACATCAAGTAATCGTTCATTTCGCCATGACTGCTTATTCATATGTTATTTAACGATTGCATCCTCATGCTCTGTAGCTCTAAGTTAAAATTCTTTCACACTCATTAACATCCTTGTTTCCGCTTGTCCAATATTGTTTGACACCAAGCTTCAAAAGTGTTATATTAGTTGAAATCAGCACATTTTTCTTTAGAATCCAACTTATCAAATACTAACATACACACATTTGTTGTAACGTTTTGAATTAACCTATATACCTTGAGATCACTATTCTTTATTAAACTTCTTAAACATGTAAATATAAATTAAAATAAAACAGCATTAATGATGATTTAAATGTTCTAACTTCTTTTAATATATTTAATAATTCAAGAACATAGTAAAAAGAAACTAGTATTTCGGATCGCACATTTGAATCAACGAGAGAATTAAATTTGGGTATTGTAACGATGTAGTAAAGCAGAAGCGAAGAACTAATAAAAGAATATATACGTCAATATTATAAATTCTTGCATTTTTATTGGTCAAGTTGGCTCTGAGTCACGATTTTCCGCCATGTAGTGACGTCAATACGTCACTACTTACGTCATGCCTTATGTCCATTGATATTCAGCTTTAATGAAAAAAATCATATGATAAAAAATTAGGTGTGACATCTCAATTGACTGATATATATATCAATATATATTTTGATTGAATTGATTGGTAACACCTAGCGATGATTTATCTTGTTATATTGTAAATTGTAAATGCTATATTAGGCATAAAATAATATTTATACATAAGCATTGTTTTAATGAAATATGCAATTTTAATCATTAGCTCTTTAAAAGATTTTTGATAACTATATTGATATATATATATTTGATCAAATTTGATAATTTATAACGCTAACGCGCGTATTCGAATATTAGATTGAAAAAAATGATTATTCGAATACATATTTTCTTAACTTTAGACCTCCGGATCGACAATACAGCTATAATCGAAGATTGATAAGGAGATTCCAAATCTTAGATTAGATGTTTTAGATCTCTCGTGCGACGAAGCATTTATCATTATATAATTTGTCCTAATTTGCCTCGATCAAACAATTTTTTCTATTAAAAAAGTTATTATCGTTAATGCTTTTCAAAATAATTCAAATAATTTTCTGTTAACCCATTTTTTACGTTATTAATGCTTCGTTCATTCGTTGTGAAAGTTGGTAGGAATAGTAGGTTTGGTTGTAGAATTGGCGATAATCATATAATTAATGTGGGTATCAACTTTAACATTTCGAGAATATGTAGTTTTATTTACTAATTCTTACCCATTTTTGATAGTTAAGAACATATAGTGCCACAACTCAAGTTCTGACTAAAGTTAAAACCATGACCGAACAAAAGAAGGTACAGTAAAGCTTCTATTGCCTGTTCTATTGCGTACCTTCTTTAAGTGTATTCTTTAGTCTAGTCCTAAACTTACAAACACTTTAAAAAAAATGTATGCTTTAAATTTGCATTTTTTTCAAATTGACATTTGAGGGCTATGTTGCATATAACTATAATTTTTTTTAAAATTCGAATATCGCATTTATTTTAAAATGAACAGGTTACACATGCTGACTCAGAAACAGCGCCAATAACGTCTCAATTGCTTGCAAAACAAGAAAAATACACCATTAACACATATCTTCGTCCACCCATTATTCTTTCTCATGGTAAAGGTTGTCACGTCTATGATTTAGCAAATAGAGAATATCTTGATTTCACAGCTGGAATAGCAGTGAACGCGTTGGGTCATTCCGATCCTGAATTGGCGAGAGTAATTCATGAACAAGCATTAAAACTTGTTCATTTGAGTAATCTATATCATAATGAGTATGCTGGACAACTTGCTGAGTTATTAGTTGAATCTACACGTAGTGGAGGTGGATTTGAAGCATCTAAAGTATTTTTCTCCAATTCTGGTACTGAAGCGAATGAAGGTGCATTAAAATTCGCAAGAAAATGGGGAAAACATGTTGGTAAAAAAAGTAATGAAGAATTGAATATGAATAAATATGGTGTTGTGTCATTTTCAAACGCTTTTCATGGTAGATCTTTTGGATCGTTGTCAGCTACACCTGCACCTAAATATCAAAGTCCATTCGCGCCAATGGTGCCAGGATTTGTAACCATACCTTATAATGATATTAGTAAGATTAATGAACATGTGACCGATAAAACCTGTGCTGTAATTGTCGAACCTATTCAAGGTGAGGGTGGAGTATGGGAAGCCACCGTTCCATTTATTGAAGCTTTGAGAAAACGATGTGATGAAGTTGATGCTTTACTGATTTTTGATGAAATTCAGGTAAATGATCCTAAATTTACTTATAAAGTCATTTTAGTTACAGGAAATTATCAAACATTTATTTATTTAAATTCATAAAGTGTGGTCTTGGTCGTACTGGAAAATTATGGGCACATCAAAATTATCCAAAATCTTGCCATCCAGATATTATGACATTAGCTAAACCATTAGCCAATGGAATCCCAATTGGTGCCATTATTACTACACAACGTGTTGCTGATATAATTGCGATCGGTAATATAAAATTTTTTTTGTAATCATTAATTAATTCTAGCTACGTATTTCATTAGTTAATAACTTTTTCATTTTCAGGTGATCATGGTACAACTTTTGGTGGTAATCCCTTAGTATGCCGAGCAGCTCTTTCAGTAGTTTCACGTATAAACACACACGAATTATTGACAAATGTTAATAATGTCGGATCCTATTTTAAATCAGCGTTCGAAAAGTTAGCGACTAAATATCCATCTCTTATTTCAACTGTACGAGGGCGAGGACTTATACTTGGAATACAATTTACTAAAAATCCAAGTGGAATGGTTCAATTAGCCAGAGAACGAGGCCTATTAATAATTACTGCCGCAAATGATACCATCAGAATTGTACCTCCATTAATATTGACAAAAGAAGAGGCCGAAAAGGGCGTAGCAATTTTGGAAGAATGTTTGGAAATCTTTGAAAAGGAAAATAACTAAGACAATGTAATAGATTTTATTAATTATTTTAGATTCCATTTATTTTTGTCGGGATTGTTAGGAACATTAGATTTTATTTAGAATACTTTAAATAGAATCTTTTTATATATAGACTAGATAATAAGGTTTACAGTAAAAAATGGTAAATTTTAATAAATTTAAGTTTCTTGTAGTCATTTTACGTAAGACATCGGTTATTGCAAATCTTTCCAAATCGAGTAATATAATTTAACGTACATACGTATGACATTATTTTTTTTAAAAAACAGCCAGTTTTATTAATTAATACAAATATTATACAGCAGAAACCAAGACCAAAATTGATCTCTATGATACTGTTTAATAGATTTTTTTTGAATTTTTTATGTTAAATATAAACCATACAAAAGAAGAAAACAAAAATGCTTGTATCAAACGAAGCTTTATAACAAAATGTTGAAAGAAATAACGAACAAAATGTTACCATCTTTTAACAATAATATCTACAGCTTTTTTTTTTTTTTAATAAACAAACTTTATCGGAAGCTACTTTCTCTAAATACCAAAAAATCGATAATTAACCAAGATGAGATTGTATCTGATAATCAGCCATTGCCTATTTATAAAAGTGAAAAAAAAAACAATAAGAGAATGATAAGTTTATAATTACGAGTAGTAAATAAACGAGAATACTTACTACCGAATTCAAATTTAATTGATCGGATGCATCCATGTGTGCAATAGTAATAAAAAAAGATTTTTCTAGTTTATAGACGGTATCACCGTGATAATAATTAGCAATTGCAGTTATTTCACAACTTTCAGCATCTATTCCTGGAGTACCAGTAAGAACATTGTTCTCCCATCTGAGCCAGTCTGGTAACCACGGAGAATGAAATACAGCTTTAATGGCTATAAAATAGGACATAATAATATAATCATAAATAGATTTAACTTGAATTTAAAATGAAATTGAAATCTAGAATAATATATTAATATAATTCTTACATTTAACATTTACTTGTGGATCCCAGACTCTAGGAGCGTAAGTGTATTTTGCACCAACGTAAGCAACTTTATCTGGGATTCCAGCAATTTTACGAGTAAATTCGCGGAATATCCAACCACCACTTGGTGTCTTTTTTGCTTCAATATTCCATACGTGATTTCCCTTAGATTTTGCTTTTTTACCATCTTCATTAAATCGAGAAATATATCTGTAAACCGATAGAATTTTCATTAAGTAAAAAACAAAAAATAGAGAAATATATGCTTAATTTCAATATAAAAATAAACATACCTTTGTGTCCATAAATAATTTTTAACTTTTCTCAACGGTAGGATCTCTTCGGTGTATCCATGACGAAGTAATTCTTCGTGAAATGCATTAGTGAAAGCTTGTATTCGAAATTTGAATGGACGAAAATCGGGAGACTCATCTAATTTTTGCATTTTTTTGGCCATCAAGGTTTGATGACTATGAAACAAGTATTTAAAATCATTTTCAATACATTAAACTTAATTTAAATTAATAAAATTGATAAAAATAAGTTATGCATACATTTGTTCACCTTTAGAATCAGTCGCATTCACTATATAAAAATAAAGTATTAATAATAATATCAATAGTATGACAAATAAATGAATGATATTTACAGTCTGAACAAATAGTTTGTAAGAAATTAATAAAAATATCATCAAGATGTTTCAGAAGACCAGGATCCAACGGAGCATGTGTATGAGTTCGAGGAGCGCTAGGAAGTACACCAGCAGGGGCAAAAACTGGTGGAGGAGGCTAGACAACACGATTGAGAGTCATTAATATTGATATTATCAATTCCGAAATTACAAATGAAACAAGAAATACCTGGGCTGTATAGGGATCATTTGGTACATTTGGTAGTTCACGAACATTCACTGAATATACTTCGCTAGTGATTGTGGGTGTATCCTCCACGTTAGTTTTGACAGCTTTTTTTGGTTTTTCGTATTTTCCTGGCATAGTACGCTAATATATGTGGGAAAAATCAGTGATGTGAAAAAAATTAGCAACGTAAACTCTAGTCAATCATTTTTGAACAGTACAAATTCAATACCTTGAGAGGCTTGACGGAAGACACCAATGGTTCCACGGACACAGGAATAGAGGGCGGTTGTGGTGTAGTAATTGTCGGCGTAAGTTGTTGCTTTTATAAAGGAACATTTATAATTAATCTAAAAAAACAATTTTTTTTATAACAAAATCATCATAATATCTACCCTAATATTCTAATTATTTAAAATAAAATAAAATAAAAACCCCTTTAAAACCTTATCCTATATTTCATAAACAGAAAAAAAAGAACGATAAAGAAACACACCAACTCAGCATATTTGGATTTAAAGTCTTTTAAGAGATTTATTGTTTTAGATATGTCTTCAAGGCGATTAAAAGCTTCACTTTCAAGACCACGCTCAAATTGTTCTTTAGCTTCTTGAGCATTCAAGAAGATACTGAATAAAACAAGAATACAAGACGACTTTTAAGTAACCACCAAGTTTATTAAGAAAAATGTATAGTTTTAGAGTATATGTATTGAGAGAGAATGTCAAAATGCATTCGACAAGCCTCCACATATACAGGCCGTTTCTTTGCAGAATAAACCTTCATTCTCGAACGCAAAGTATAAAAGGGATGCCATACCTCTCAAAAAGTTGGGTCAAATTCATTTTTAATATGTTTGTCAGTAGTGGGGTGGTTTCTTTGGGGTGGGGACAGTGAGGGGACGCTTTAAAAAAGAAGGCCTCTCGAAAGAGGGGCTTGAGAAAAAGATGATTTTGGAAACCAAATTAGCCATCGAATTTTATTGAGTTTAATTGAGGGAAATCATGTGAAATGCAACATCATCTGACATGAAAGTCAATTAGCAGGGACAGTGATTTGATTTCGATTTACCAAGATTGACCAATCAGAATGCACTATTTGGTATAACACAATATAACGTGATCAGTAATGTAACTTTCCGGCAAACATGATTGATTGTCTACGATTCCGACACTTACCGATGGTTCAGGTTGGCCAAATTTGTGTTGTCCGGCTCAAATTATACACTTAATTTTGCCCGAAGTGGTATTGTTACACCGCATTAAAAATTGCATTTCCCTATGATTTGGGCTAAAAATATCCTGCCTGTTAGATATTTAAATATAGATTTAAGTTTGTAACACAAGATTCACTGAATTTGGGCTTGGCACTTTCATCTATTTATAGAAATTATTCTTAATTCTGGGGTAATTAATTTAGTTTAAATTTTGGGGAAATCGTCTTTATTATTAGAAAAAAAGATTGTGATGCATTGTAAAAAAAAAAAAAAAAAAAATCGGGGTATTGTTTTTTTAATTAAATGCTTAAAGACTCTTATAGCAGTTTCGTTCGCATTTAACATATTTCGTTTAATGCACGATTTCATCTTTTTTAAATATGCATTACCAATTAATAACATTGTTTTTTTGTTTTTTAGACATGAAGTGAGCGTATATCCACAAATTATTAACGCTAACGGTAATTGATAATCCCTTGAATGCTAAATTACGTTCGTGTGACCCGTTGTTTTCATTGTGCATAATATGGTTATATCTTACGTATGTACTAACTTATGTACTAAATAATCAATCTTTACAACAAATTTGAAACATAATAGGCAATTATCTCTTTGTTTCAAAAATAGAACTTAATTACTTACTACGTACATACTTCTTGTTGTATATCCTTCTTTTTGTGTATATATATAAACCTATCTTTTCCCTCGTAAGATCAAAAAAAAACGCGCAACATTTTTTTTTTTTTTTAACCAAAAAATGAACGGTCTTCGAAAGATCAATAGTTTTATTCGAGCCAGAAAATATAAACGAAAAGTTCGAAAATGTGTTTATATTTATACACCGCTACCTGGTAACAGGCTTGGATACATAATAGAATATAGGCGACCTGAGTTTAGCGAAATATTCTATTATAAATATAAGAAAAATGCCGATAACACTCTGACAAAGTATGGATACTTTGTTTCTGATCCTGGTGTAGGTTTTGGTCACAACAATAGTAATCGTACTAAGAATTATGAAAATAAAGGACTTTGGACAAATAAAGATAAAGATTGCATATTTTATCAAACCGTTGCTGATAAAACGCAAATCGAACTTGAATACCGTTGGATGAACGAAATAAGAAGTAAAGGTCGTTTGGAAATTTGTCTTGATGATAATAACGATACTGATAATGAATGGGTTGATGTAATGCAACATAATAATAAAATTTACATTTCTGATAACATACAACGTCGAAGAGTTGCCGAAGTTTTAGAAAAAGTTGATAATAGTTATGTTGATAATAATATGAAACTGTCAGCATCTCAAGATCCTGAAAGTAAAGATCATCAACGTCCTCAGTTAAAAACTATAGATTTACCTATTTCTCAATCAAAGACTTCAGATAATAAACAATCTTCTAATGCTGTTGATGAGTTTTCACCTCCAATTACTCCAATAACTCCTCCGTCCTCTCCAAGTGAAATTTATTCTACTGTGAAGCCAAATTGTTTATTGAATATGAATATAAGACAACGTCATCAAAGAGTAGCGTCCAAAGATAGTGCAAAAAGCATTTCTTCAAATCATAGTAAAACTACTACTGTCATTAAACCTCGAAAACTTGTTCATTTAACACATCCTAAATTCAGTAGAAATCCCCCTATGGTACATATATTTGACCCTGAAGATTCTTTGATTTTTAAAAATTGTAAATGTGAACATTGTATTATTGGTCAATATAATGAATAACTACCGTTACAGAAAAAAAAAGTAATGTTCTTTAGATTACACATATATTTATACAATCTGTAAAATCTGTAAATAAATAAAAGATGCTGGTATCTTGTCACGTAGCCCAACATGTTAGTTCATGTAATTTTGATTATGGTATATAATGTAATAAAAGTAAAAATTTTTATAAACATAAATACAAATTTTATAAAAATTCCTATAATAGAAAATTTTCAAATTGTCCAATTATAAAAAAATTTTTTTTAAAAAAAGATAATTACAATCATCTATCTCATCTATCTCTTTAATTTTCAATTTTCTATCAAATTCAATAATCGCCCATAAAATCCTTACAAGCTTCGTATGTTACAAAACTTACACTAATAGCTGGCGCTACTTTTAAATAATTTGGTACCATCCCTTTATATAATCCTCGTATCCCTTCCCTTTTTATCAATTGCGTTAGCGCATCCCACGTGTTATTATATTTATATTCTAACTCTTTCATCCCTGTTACTTGCATTCTTCTTCTTAATACATCCAACGGATACGTTATTGTCTGTGCAAATGATCCTGCTAACGCTCCACACAACAGTTTTTGCGCCACCGGTGGTGATGTTTTATCAACTGGTGTAAAATATTTACGCAATACTTCATATGAATGGAAATTGAGTGCTACATACGGTGCCACTCCCTATATTTTTCATCAAATATATAATTATGTATACAATTAGCTTTAAATCTTTGATTATTCGAATTTTTATTTAACTATTAATCTTTGTATATATTACCAACAGGGTTGGTGCCAAGCCACGATATAATGCCATAATACCGCCCTCGGTAATATAAATTATCTTCATTGTTGACGCGATACCTGCTAATTTTTTCTGTCCTTCTTTACCTGATAATGTTGCTGATTGAACTGAAAGTCTTGTTCTTACTATATCTAATGGATATGTACATGCGACTGACGTTATGCCCGCTAATGCTCCTGCCGAAAGACGTCGTGGTGCATCTAATTCTGTTTTTCCTTCTTCTAGTAAAAGCTTTTGATCAAATCATTCGTTTCACTTAATCATTAATTCTTACTATTTAATTTTATATATATATATATATATATACAAGTCACTCTCAATATAGTGAAGTGATCCGTTCCATTAATAAAATTTTTTAAAAATTCATTATATCAAGTTATTAGTAAATTCACTATATCGAGAGAATTTGTATAAACTGGCTTTGAGCATAACTTCATTATGTCAAGATGTTAATTAGTCTTCACTATATTGAGAGTTCACTATAACGAGATATAACGAGAGTGACTTGTATATCCCTTTCTATCTTATTATATGTTTTAATTATACTTACTCGTTTATATTTTTCATATGCCGCAAATTGTGTCGCACTGTAAGGAACAATTCTTATAATGTTCGTCCCATTTCCCCTTAAAAATCCAAGTACCCCTTCCTCACGCCATATTTTTGCTAATGTGGGGATAATTCCACTATAAGCTGCGTTTAATCCTTGTATCTATATTATATTATGATTTCAATTTCTTATATTGGCTGAAAATTTATACCTATAAATTATTCTGACATACTTGAAATAAGATCTTCATTCTTTCTAAAGGGCTTACTACCGTTCTGCTTACGGCCCCCGCAATTCCTCCCTAGATTAATAGATCAAAAAAAAAAAAAAACCCCAAATAATTGTTAACTACTTTTTATATTAAAACATTCAAAAAATACACTTTACTTGTGTCACTTTTGAATAAAATCTACCGCGATCAAATGTTTTATTGCTGGCGACAGAACAAACATCCAATGTCCATGTGTCAAGTGTGCTTCTGTTTCTTGAGACTTGAGTGAGGCCGAACTGCTTTCAGATACACTAGATATCCACCCTGTGAATCTTGAATCTGATACTTGGTCAACGTTGTCATCTTTTTCATTATAAATACTAGTATTTATACTATTATTATTAATATCATTCGGTTTAGGCGAATGTATGAACATTGTGAAATACTTTAGTTAAATGAACGAGCGAGATAAGTAAATTATAGATCATGTGACTAGGTCTATTTTTATTGGTTTGAGTCCAATCATGTGAAGTTACATGATACGTATCAACAAAAGTTTTGTATATAACGATAATATATATCTATCTTTAATAGCATATCTAAACTAAGTTTATGGAAGAGAGGGATCAATGATCTTTAATTTTACTTTATCAGATAGTTAAATGTAAATCTGAATGAGATAGAAGATCTATTAAATCACTGTTGTGTAACGGTTCATTACTGCATTAGCGTTATCGTTAATACGTATCGGTATTACGTAATAGTTTATTGAACTTAGACTTATTCTTCGTTTAACAAATAGTTCATAAGAGTGATGAGGGGTATAAAAAATACAAAAACAGAAATTCTATTGGCTGTAAAAAATATATAATTTTGTTTTTTATAGTATACATTATAAACTATTTATACTGTATATTAATACTGTATATTCAAGTTTTATTTTTTTTTAATATTAATAGTAAGCATATTCAAGTTTTATTTTTTTTTAATATTAATAGTAAGCATATTCAAGTTTTATACTGTATATAAATTTAGAAAATTGATATTTTTATACTTTCTTTTGCTATATATTGTCAAACTTTGCTAACTTTAAACTCTAATTAAAACTTATAATTTTATATTGATTTTGATTTTTGATTTTTATTTTTTATTTTTATTTTTGCTAAGAATAATGTTTTTTTTGCTTTTATATGCTAAGGTCATAGTTATTGTAGTTATTGCTTTTATTGTAATTTTTAATTACAATTATATAATTTGTACAAGGTGAGTGTGCAACTAGTCATATATACAATAGTCTACCTGCAGGTTTTATACTAGTTGTTATACTTGTAATTTGTTAGAAAATTACTTAATTAAACACTCTAATTTTTATACTACACCTAACAGATAGCACACAATTAAGAGTAAAATTAGGATAAAATATGTTAGGCAGTATATAAAGGAGTAAAGTTTTTATACATCTAAGTGTTATCTAATTTAATCTTGATTTTTTTTTTTGTATATCTGTCAAATTGTTATATATTTTAGAATATATCACTTGACTGTAAAACTCTAAAGGGTTTTTTTGTTAACTAATTACTCATATTTAGTTCTTGTTAACAAAGTTTACTCTTGCAAAGTTCATTCAAATCTTAGTACCAATTTTACAGCATATCTCTAATATTTATAATATATACTTGTTTTTGTTATTAAATTTTCAATTCAGATAGATCAGTAGAACTATGTCTTTTCTTAGTTACTAAGTTTGGTTCAAATTTTTTTTTAGTTCAAAACTTTTAATAATCTAATTGATAATATTTTTCATTCAAGATTCTTGTTTATATAATTTTTTTATATTGGTATCTGTTTTTTAGTCTTAGTTTTTACAGTAATACTATCAAAGATCTGTGTTATTTTTTTACTTAAATCTTTTTAAGTAGGTTTTGGTTTTCTAGTTCTATAGATTTATACAGCTACAAGAACTTATTTTAAGTTTGCACTACCTGGTATCAATTTGTATTTCTCAGTATAACTAATATTATACAGATGCTCTATAACCTGTCAGTCATGTTAATATAACTATAATTATAGATATCTTATCTCAACTGATCAACAAAATGTTATTGCTATAATACTATCTATATATTACATTTTGATTATCTAAATTTTTGTTATTAGTAAGTTTTGAACTTACAATCTGGCATTAAAAAAGTTGACAACTTATCTATTTCATAAAATTATTATATTCTAGAATAATGTTTATTAATAGTTATTATCTTTATTTTTTTATTTTATTTTATTTTTTGTTAAAACTTATACTTTGTAGTGATACTTTATTGATTTTTATTGGATTAGCTATTACAACTATTTTTACAGAGATAAGAGTACAACTAGTCATACATGCAATTTTTGGTTGCCTATTTAAGTAGTTCACTTTAAAATTCTATACTAGATGCTATACCTATAATCTACTAAAAGATTATCTATTTAAACTCTCTAATCATCTGTCCTGTTATGATGTAACCTTAATTAACTCCTGTATATATCTAATTAGTATACTGTTTGAGCAGTATGATATCTACTTTTTTTGTACTAGTTTTTAGACCATTATACATTTTAGAATATGTCACTTGTCAGTAAGGTGCAAAAGGCCTTCATTGTTAACTATATACTCACTTTTAGAACACTAATAAGAGTTAACCTTACAGAGTTCATTTAGACCTTAGCACTAACTTTATAGCATATTTCTAGTACTTTTAGTATACTTCTGCTTTGAACTCAAACTCACAATTCAGATAGCCTAAAAGAACTGTGACCTGTCCTTAATAGATTAAGGTTAGCTTAATATCTTTTTCTTCTGGTCTAAAATCTAATAGCCTGGTTGGTGGTACCTTTCACTTGAAATTCTTGCCTGCCTGATTCTTTCATATTGGTATCCATTTTCTAGATCTAGCTTTTATAGTAATATCATCAAAGATCTGTGTTATCTCTTTGTTCAGAATTTCTAGATGAGCTCTGGCTTCCCAGTTTTATAGATTTATATAGCATAAGAACTTATTTTAGATTTGTATCATCTGGTGCCAGTTTGCATTTCTTTGTATAATAGGTTATACAGATAGCCTAAACTTGCTAGTCATGCTGATGTGACCATAGTTACAGATATCCTATTCCAACTGATTAACAGAATGTTGTTACTGTAATACTGTCAATATATTACATAGGTAATTATCCAAATTTTGCTGTCAATAGGTTTTGAACTTACAACCTACTACTTAAGAAGATGACAACTTATCCACTTCACTAAGTCACCACATTTTTGCTATTATTTTTATTATATTTTTAATTATATATTATATATATAACTTGTATAAAATAAGTATACAATTAGCTATATATACAACTTTTAGTTACCTATTTAAATAGTTTATTAACAAATTTTATACTAACTGTTATACTTATAATTTGTTAAGAAATTACTTATTTAAATATTCTAATTTTTATATTATATCAGTTGAATAATTTTATAAACTTTTGTAATTTGTTTTGTTTTGTGTTTTAATTTAATCAAATATTTAAGTTTAAATCAAATTCAAATCTGAAATTTTTAAATTTAACAAATATTTGATTTGATTTAAAAA